TCTCTCTCCTTCTCTCTCTTCTCTCTCTTCTCTCTCTCTGTCTGTCCTCTTTCGTCTCTGTCTCTGTCTCTGTCCTGCTGTCTCTGTCTCTATCTATCACTCTCTCCTCTCTCTCTCTCCTCTCTCTCTCTCTCTGTCTGTCCTCTTTCTGTCTCTTCTCTCTCTGGTCTCTGTCTCTGTCTCTATCTTCTATTCTCTCTCTCTCTTCGTCTCTCTTCTCTCTCTCTCTCTCTCGTCTCTTTTCTCTCTCTGTCTCTGTCTCTGTCTCGTCTCTGTCTCTATCTCTATCTCTCTCCTCTCTCTCTCTCCTTTCTCTCTCTCTCCTCTCTCTCCTCTCTGTCTCTCCTCTTCTCTCTCTGGTCTCTGTCTCTGTCTCTGTCTCTGTCTCTATCTATCTATCTTCTTTTCCTTCTCTCCTTCTCTTCTCTCTTCTCTCTCTCCTCTGTCTGTCCTCTTTCTGTCTCTGTCTCTGTCTCTGTCTATTCTATCTATCCTCTCCCCTCACCTCTCTCCTCTCCTTCTCTCTCTCTCTCTGGTCTGTCCTCTTCTCTCTCTCTGTCTCTGTCTCTGTCCCTCTGTCTCTGTCTCTATCTATCTATCACTCCTCCATGTCTCTCTCTCCTTCTCTCTCTCTCCTTCTCTCTCTCTCTCTGTCTGTCCCTTTCTGTCTCTGTCTCCCTGTCTCTGTCTCTGTCTCTGTCTCTATCTATCTATACTCTCTCCTTCTCTCTCTCTCTATCTCAACTCTGTCTGTCTCTTTCTGTCTCTGTCTCTGTCTCTGTCTCTGTCTTATCTATCTATCACTCTCTCCTTCTCTCTCTCTTCTCTCTCTCTATCCTATCTCTCTCTCTCTCTCGTCCTCTTTCTCTCTCTGTCTCTGTCTCTGTCTGTATCATCTCCACTCTCTCCTTCTCTCTCTCTACCTTTCTCCTCTCTCTCGTCTAGTTCCTCTTTCTGTCTCTTCCCTCTGGTTCTGTCTCCCTGTCTCTGTCTCTATTTATCTCACTCTCTCTTCTCTCTCTTCTCCTTCTCTCCTCTCTTCCTTCTCTCTCTTCTCCTCTCTCTCGTCTCTCTGGTCTGTCCTCTTTCTGTCTCTGTCCTCTGTCTTCTGTCTCTGTCTCTGTCTCTATCTATCCTATCACTCTCTCCCTTCTCTCTCTTCTCCTTTCTCCTCTCTCCCACTCCTGTACTTGTCCTCTTCTCCTCGGCTCTGTCTCTGTCTCTGTCTCGGTCTCTGCTTCTATCTTATCTATCGACCTCTCTCCTTCTCCTCTCTCCTGTCCTCTCTCTCTCCTTCTCCCTCTCTCCTTCCTCTCTCTCTCTCTGTCTGCCTCTTTCTCTCTCTGTCTCTGTCTCTGCTCTCTATCTATTCTATCACTCTCTCCTTCTCTCTCTCTCCTCTCTCTCTCTCTCTCTGTCTGTCCTCTTCTCTCTGTCTCTTCTCTGTCTCTGTCTCTGTCTCATCTATCTTATCACTCTCTCGCTGTCTCTCTCTCTCCTTAAATCTCTCTCTTCCCTTTCTCTCTCTCTCCTGTCTGTCCTCTTTCTCTCTCTGTCTCTGTTCTCTGTCTCTGTCTCTGTTCTCTATCTATCTATCACTCCTCTCCTTCTCTCTCTCTCCTTCTCTCCCTCTGCTCTGTCTGTCCTCTTTCTCTCTCTGTCTCCCTGTCTCTGTCTCTGTTCTCTGTCTATCTATCTATCACTCTCTCCTTCTCTCATCTCTCCTTCTCTCTCTCTCTCTGTCTGTATCCTCTTTCTCTCTCGTGCTCCTCTGTCTCGTCTATCTATCACTCTCTCCTTCTCTCTCCTCTCCTTCTCTCTCTCTCTCTGGTCTGTACCTCTTTCTCTCTCGTCTCTGTCTCTGTCTCTGGCTCTGTCTCTTGTCTCCATCTATCTATCACTCTCTCCTTCTCTCTCTCTCCTTCTCTCTCTCTCTCTGTCTGTCCTCTTTCTGTCTCTGTCTCTGTCTCTGTCTCTGTCTCTATCTATCTATCACTCTCTCCTTCTCTCTCTCCTCTCTCTCTCTCCTTCTTCCTCTCTCTCCTTCTGCTCTCTCTTCCTTCTCCTCTCTCTCTCTGTCTGTCCTCTTTCTCTCTCTGTCTTGTCTCCTGTCTCTGTCTCTGTCTCTATCTATCTATCACTCTCTCCTTTCTCTCTCTCTCTCTGTCTGGTCCTCTTTCTCTCTCTGTCTCTGTCTACTGTCTCTGCTCTATCTATCTATCACTCTCTCCCTTCTCTCTCTCGTCCTTCTCTCTCTCTCCTCTCTCTCTCTTCCTCTCTCTCTCTCCTTCTCTCTCTCTCCTTCTCTCTCTCTCTCTGTCTGTCCTCTTTTTCTGTCTCGCTCTGTTCTGATCTCTGTCTCTATCTATCTATCACTCTCTCCTCTCTCTCTTCTCCTTCTCTCTCTCTCTCTGTCTGTCCCTTTCTGTCTCTGTCTCTGCTCTGTCTCTGTCTCTATCTATCTATCACTCTCTCCTTCTCCTCCTCTCTTCCTTCTCCTCCTCTCCTTTCTCTCTCTCTCCTCTCTCCTCTCTCTCCTTCTCTCTCTCTCCTCTCTCTCTCTCTCTGTCTGTTCCTCTTTTCTCTCTCTGTCTCTGTCTCTGTTCTCTGTCTTCTGTCTCTATCCTATCTATCACTCTCTCCTTTTCTCTCTACTCTCCCTTCTCTCCTCCTCTGTCTGTCCCTCTTTCTCTCTCATGTTCTTCTCTGTCTCTGTCTCTATCTATACTATCACTCTCTCCTTCTCCTCTCTTCCTTCTCTCTCTCTCCTTCTCTTCTCTTCTCCTTCCTCTCTCTCTCTGTCTGTCCCTCTTTCTGTCTCCCCTGTCTCTGTCTCTGTTCTCTGTCTCTGTCTCTATCTATTCACCTCTCTCCTTCTCTCTCTCTCTCTCTCTCTCTCTCTGTCTGTCCCTCTTTCTCTTCTCGTGTCTCTGTCTCTGTCCTCTGTCTCTGTCTTTATCTATCTATTCACTCTCTCCTTCGTCTCTCTCTCCTTCTCTCTCTCTCTCTGGTCTTGTCCTCTTTCTTGTCTCTGTCTCTGTCTCTGTCTATCTATCACTCTCTCCTTCTCTCTCTCTCCTTCTCTCTCCTCTCTTCTGCTCTTGTTCCTCTTTCTCTCTCTGTCTCTCTGTCTCTTGTCTCTGTCTCTGTCTCTATCTATCTATCACTCTCTCCTTCTCTCTCTCTCCTTCTCTCTCTCTCTCCTGCTGTTCCTCTTTCTCTGTCTGTCTCTGTCCTCTGTCTCTGTCTCTGTCTCTGTCTACTCTACTATCACTCTCTCCTTCTCCTCTCCTCCTTCTCTCTCTCTCTCTGTCTGCCTCTCTCTCTCTGTCTCCTTGTTCCTGTCTCTATCATATCTATCTTCACTCTTCTCCCTTCTCTCTCTCTCCTTTCTCTCTCTCTCTCTGTCTGTCCTCTTTCTCTCTCTGTCTCTGTCTCTGTCTTCTGTCTCTATCTAATCTATCACCTCTCTCCTTCTCCTCTCTCCTTCTGCTCTCTCTCTCTGCTGTCCTCTTTCTCTCTCCTGTCTCTGCTCTCTGTCTCTGTCTTCTGTCATCTATCTATCCTATCACTCTCTTCCTTCTCTCTCTCTTCCTTTCTCTCGTCTCCTCTGGCTGTCCTCTTTCTGTCTCTGTCTCTGTCTCTGTCTCTTGTCTCTATCTATCTATCACTCTCTCCTTCCTCTCTCTCTCCTTCTCTCTCTCTTCCCTCTGTCTGTCCTTTCTTTCCTGTCTCTGTCTCTGTTCTCTGTTGCTTCTCTGTCTCTATCTATCTATCACATCTCTCCTTCTCTCCTCATCTCCTTCTCTCTCTCTCCTTCTCTCTCTCTCTCGTCTGTCCTCTTTCTGTCTCTGTCCTGTCTCTGTCTCTATCTATCTATCATCACTCTCTCCTTCTCTCTCTCTCGCTTCTCTCTCTCTCTCTCTCTCTTCTCCTCTCTGTCTCTTCTGTCTCTGTCTCTGTCTCTGTTCTATCTTATCTTATCTATCACTCTCTCCTTCTCTCTCTCTCCTTCTCTCTCTCTCCTTCTCTCTCTCCTCTTCTCTCTCTCTCTCTGTCTGTCCTCTTTCTCTCTCTGTCTCTGTCTCTCTGTCCTCTGTCTCTATCTATCTATCACTCTCTCCTTCTCTCTCTCTCCTTCTCTCTCTCTCCTTCTCTCTC